AATTATCCCTTTGTATGTGGTCACACATGTACTCAGCAGTCTTATCAATGGGAACGTTTGTGAAGAGTGAACCGACGTCGAGTGATATCATGCGTATTCCGGATTTGGAAACTGTTAAACCCATTGCTAAGAACACACCAAACCATTCCCAGTCGTTTTGCTTAATCGCCAAGTCTTCTTTCTTAATTCTGACACGAAAGTTTAAGTCTAAACTCAATTAATCTCTCACTATCCTTTGTTGCACAAGAATGGCTTTCAGCTTCAATAAAATCAATGCTGAAGTTGACGCCCGTTCATAAAGACCATTTGCTTCATCTTCCATCAGCTCAATGCGGTGGTTTATAGCAACTTCTGCTCTTAACATCCTTGTCGAATTATTACTCAAAACAGATTACAACTACTCGGGCAGCAGTTTTTGCGTTCTGCCTGTGAGGTCCCGGGTTTGCGATCCCTAGTTGAGTAGAGGGATTCGCACTACCAATAAGGCCCAACCAAGTCGAACCAGCTGTCCACTAGTGCTTTCTAGCTTTTCAGTTCATGCTTTGCTTACTCTATACACGACGAATCCACATTTGAAATTGAATCAAATCCTCCACTGCCCACATAAGTAATTGTTTCACCGGATTCAGATCGGACAGTTTGACTTTTAATTCGCCCGATGCAAACACTCGATCCACAATGTTTTCTGGCAATATGTTTCAGAAGTTTCGTTTAGCATAAAAATAATGCTATATGAATAATGTGCAACCGATTGAATATGAACACTGTTTTATTCTGCCTGTTGCAGGTGGTCACTTTGTGCCAATGCGAAAAACAATCTACCTTGCAGGTTAACCCCTTTCCTCCCGTTGCATGCAGCAGCACCGAATGTGGAGGCATTGGGTACCCGTCAATAAGCTCACATGAAACAGCAAATCACAGATGATGGTCACCTGACCGGCCTTGGTGAACAACCGAGCAACCACGAACGCATACGGGAAATCGTCACGTTTCAATCGTGACCGGTGAGACCGTATAGTTTTGTCACAACAGATTATGACATACTTCATCATACTTCATCACCTCACTTGGTGATGAAAAGTTTGAAACCAAATTGCCGAGCTCGGCGAACAAGCGAAATCGAATACTTGTCAATAAATCTTAAATGTTCAATAGCATGCCATGTTCTCAGGCACTTGCTAATTCGGATTACCTTTGAGTTTCACAACACCAAAACCGAACTTTAACAGTTGGTTACTACCGAAATTATATGGAAACAATTGACTTCCCTGTTGTTTTTGGTACAAGGTGCATTTCTTCAATAACACACGTGCACAGAGAAAGAGAGACTTTCACTGAATCGATGGAATGGTAGATCGGTTAGTCAACCAGTGAGTTAGTCCATCATTCTGTTCGTCCGTCCGTCTGTCTGTCACACCATTATCGACATTTTCGAGCACACTTCAGTCATAGTACCTACTGAATGAGTGATATGTATGGTAGTAATGACAAGTATTTGTGCGAAAATTTGGATCTCATCCACTCTCATCAAACACATTTACTAAATTCATCAGTTTCAATTTATTTTATGTCGTGAACTTTGTTCTGAATTTTGACAGGTGATTACTTAACCAAGGTTCCGATTGAGATGTGGCCAAGCGTTTAAAATTTGAGTGTACAGCCTAGTAGATCAACTGGTAGAGTTTGTACTGTACAAAAGCGAAATGGCTTCCATGCGTGTGTTCGAATCCCACTGAAGTTCAACAACCGAAAATTGTTGTTTTCTGGTTTTCTTCCGTTGTGGCTAATTCAAACATTCCTATGAGGATTTGATTCAACATAGCTAATTGATTCCGTAGTGTATTTCTCTGCATACGGGTGAAATGAGGCCAGAACTGAAAAGCTAGGAAGCACTGTGTAGCGGTTCAGATCTGGTTCGGTCTCACCAGTACAGTGCGCTAAACCCAACCGGATGAAAGTTTAAGTTAGAGTGGTGGAAAGGTTATTTTGGTCATTTAGTGAATTTTATCGTAAACAGTTCACGCCTTGTTTGCCACCGTACAGGAGGAAATTCAGATCGAATCGTCCACTGCTTTCATTTAAACAGCTGATTAGTTGAATTATCGAAAGACGCACAATTACGAATCCTTGAAAATCAATCTTTTCCCAGACTCAACCATTGTACCATTGCAGTTTTTGATGCAATTGTTTAAGGGGTTTCCTCTTGGGCAGAACAAATGAATTCCAATGATAAGAAACATTGTACATGAATTCTTTGACTCAAATGAAGATTTAACCCACGATCTCACAAGTAGAACGCAATTATACTACCCACTTGACCAATGAGTTCCTGATCAGACGGTTTTTAATTTTGTCCCCGCTACTGCTCTCCTACTAAAACGTAGTCAGTTTCAGCATAAGCAGACCGAATCATAACCCCGGATGTGTTTAAATGCGCGAAGTGTAATGACCACAACAAGCTTAAAAATGTGATTTACAATTAATCGGGTACGGACAAAGTGAGCGATGGTTTGATGGACCTCCGGGTGGTGTGTTGGGTAGTATGCTTGCTTTCTACCTTTAAGGTTCGGAGTCCAGTGCTCATTAGGGTGGATGGCTTCACACGACTGATAAGCCTCAACTATAATTCTGTTCTGTTCTTAGAACCATTTATCATGCACTTTCGTGGGCCGGTTTTGGTTACTGTCTTTTGTTTGCCCATTCGGATAAAACAGCATAATGAAGATTAAAGCGGAAGATAGCGAATATATATAGACAGAAGTTACAAGGGTAATGAGTTGATGCATGAGCGCCACTGTTTATGACACCTAACCATATCGCTCAGTGTCTCTAACCATCGGTGACCATGATCTCGGCGTCTTCCACCCAGGGAGCCTAACGGGACCTATGTGAGCCAGTCTCCTGGTCAAGGTTTTCATACCTTCATGCTAGGTCTTAGTTTGACCGCCTTTAATTCTTTCCAGTCACCAGTTGCCTTGGCAAATGCCAACGGAGCCTTCTGTACGAGCGCCGACGCTTCATCTGTGATGCGTCCGCCAGGTGAGATATGACTGCACAGGTAGCAAAACTTGTCTACTTCCCCTACTATTTCCCTAGTCAGAGTGAGACCCGGTGCTGGACCAACCCAATCTTGGAGCAATATCTTACACTTTGTAGGTGCGAAACGCATGCCGAACATGGATACACCAGCACTCAAACTATCCAAGAAAGCTTGCAACTCACCAGTGTCATCACTTAATAGCACAATGTCGTCTGCATACTCTAGATCAGATAGCCTGCCACCCGGGAGTAAATCAATACCGCTATCCTAGTGCTAGGATGGGGCTGTTTGAAGAAATTAATCTATGACAAAGTTA